ATTTCTTTGACCATATGGAGATGTCATCGATGCAACCATCTGTGCAGTTTCAGGGGGAGGCATTCGACTGCGAGCTTTTTCGATCTCAATGTCGATATGTCTTCCAGTTCAAGGGGAAGACGTGCAAGTAGTAGTAGGTTCTTCGACCTAAATGTGGAGAGCATGGGGGAACCATCATCTCCACCAGAAGAACCGCTTCGTGAGCCTGGTGCGGATGGTGCTAAGACTGGACTATTCATTCACCCAGAATCACCGCAATTCAACTCCGATGATGATGAAGTTCCAGGAAATGTGGCACAAACTGACCCTCCTGCACACATGTATGAAACTGATTATGGTGCAATGTACGGGCCAGAATTTGTGGATATGCCTCATCTCGGTGACTATGGATATTACTCATCAATAAATAATGGTGAGTTATCTTTATGCATGGAGTTTTCAAGCAAAGAAGAAGCGATGATGGCTATCAAAAATTACAATATCCGTAATTCTGTTCAGTCCAGAGTCAACCGATCGACGACCAAAAAATATGTATGTTACTGTGCCCAACGCGAAAAAGGATGCAATTGGATGGTTCGCGTATCAAAAATGAAGAGGAAAAACAACATATGAGAACTAACAGTATACAACGGTCATCACACATGTTGTGCTGGAGGGGTCAACCAAGATCATCCCAACTTGGACTCTGAAGTGATATGCCAAGCCATCATGCCCATGGTAAAAGCAAGCTCTCATATAGCTGTTGCAGTGTTGATTTTAGCTATACAATCGTAGTATGGGTACACCGTCTCCTATAAAAAAGCTTGGTTGGCAAAACCAAATGCCATTGTCAAACTTAATGGCGAATGGGATGCATCTTACAACGAACTTCCAGGTTAGTTTAGGCTGGTGCGGACGTTGAATCCTGGGACAATTGTGGACTTCGAAACCTCCTATGCATACCATAATGATCGAGTTCTTCGCGATCGATGCCAAATTTACCGGGTTTTTTGGAGTTACCCACAGTGCGTTATTGCTGCCAAATACTGCAAGTCTGTGGTCCAAATCGACATGACTTTCTTGTATGGAAAATACAAGCAAGTTTTATTATTGGCAGTTGTCCAAGATGGCAATCGCAATATTCTTCCAGTTGCTTTTGCTCTTGTCGAAGGAGAAGATACAAATTCTTGGGCTTTTTTCCTCCGAAATTTACGTGCACATGTTATCACGAGGGAAAAAATCTGTGTCATTTCATATCGCGGAGCTGGGATCAAAGCAGCAATGGAGTCTTTGGGTCCAATGTGGCAACCACCTTTGTTCGTGCATACATCTTAACCTCATCCTCAGAGGCATCTGCGCTCAACTCCCGAAAATTGGCATCTAACCAATTTAACGGTATCCTACCTCCGATAAAATTTTCCGGGACACGTCCTGGACTATCCCGACACAAAGTAGTCCAAGAACCGGAAGCTATCCCCGATATCACATCTCCATCCACCGGAAGCCCCAGTTGCATAGAAACATTCTCAAGCGTGATCGTGCACTCTCCGCACGGAAGATGGAATGTGTGGGTCTCCGGCCTCCACCGCTCTACTAAGGCAGAAATCAAGTCTGGCTCTATCTTACAGTGACCCTGATATCTACCTATGTAACTGAATCCAGCCTCTACTAAATACGGCAAGACACGGCTGTGTATCACTAACTTAAGATTCCTAATAAAAGGATCTAATACACGGTCCTTCTCCTAAAAATAAATAATTACAAAAATTAATTCTTACTCTAATGATCATGCATTAAATAAATCAACTAATTATTACTAATAATTTAAATTAAATTAAAACGTTAAAATGTTATCGTATCAGCAAAGTATCAAGATATTTATTTTTTAATCTAATAATCATGCATTAAATAAATCAACTAATTATTACTAATAATTTAAATTAAATTAAAACGTTAAAATGTTACCGTATCAGCAAAGTGTCGAGATATTTAATTCTTAATCTAATAATCATGCATTAAATAAATCAACTAAATATTACTAATAATTTAAATTAAATTAAACCGTTAAAATGTTACCGTATCAACAAAGTGTAGAGATATATGATTTCCATCCGAGCGAAGTAGATTGTCTTCCACTATATAACTGCAAAAGAATTATATTAGTAAAATATTAAATAAAGTAAATACATAATAATAAAAATATTATAAAATATACCTTAAAAAGATAGAGTATTTGAGAGAAATTTAGAGAATTTGAGAGAATTTGATGTGATAGAAGTGATTGAGGATGGGGGTATTTATAAGGAGGATGTGGACGTGAAGAGATGGATATTTAGGGGTATAGCGCGCCCCCTACACCGCGCTATACCCCACGTGTCAGATACCCATGTATAACGCGGATCAGGGGGCGCGCTATACCCACGTTGCGCCAGATCACCGTATATCACGGGACAGGGGATGCGCTATACCAACGTGGCGCCAAATCAGCGTATAGAGCGGTTCAGGGGGCTCGCTTTACTGCTACGAGTGTTAGATCGGGAAATATAATCTGACCGGTATTAGATCGGTAAATATATCGATCACCGGTGATTTATTGGGAAAATTGCCACGAATAAAACAGTAAAATTTTATTTTTAGAGAAAGAAGATAAAATAAAAAAATAACATATAAATTTTATGTTAAAGAAATAGTCACGTAATTTTCATATCATTATTCTATTTATGATTTAACATTTGGTTGATCAAAATACGAGTAAATAAAAATTTAATAAATTCATTAAAAAATTAAAATTTAATGGCTAAAATAAAAGTGAGAGAAAAGTGAGTGGTAAAATTTACAATTTACTCATAAATAAAAAGAGGGTAGCTTTGAAGATTATTAATATTATGGGAGTGAAAGAAATATTTGCTTGGCGGAGTGAAAGCTGCAAATCTTTGCGGCTGGCAATGAGCAAACATGAACCAAACAACAGATCTCTCTCATTATTCTTTGCCAACTATCTCACTCCTCCTATTTACAGCAAGGCAACATTAAAAATAATAAATAAAACAAATCACCATTTAATTGTTTGATGATAGAATAAATTCGACTTATTAACTTAATTAATTTGATGTATATAAATTATTAAACTATTAGATTTAAATTAAATAATCTAATAAAAAAAGTTTAGAAATGTTGCTCATATATGATGACTAAATTGTAAATATCTTAAAAATAAATATATAATGACTAAACTAACCCCTAACATTGATAAAATGATCATTTTAACTTCTATTTTTTTGGCCCCAATATTTCATTAACTTCCTGGTTGGATGAAAATTGTTAGTCCGCTAATAGTTTCCATGATAAATATTTTTACTTTGAAAGGCAAAAAGACATAAGAGGTTCTTGTACTTTAAAAAGAATCAATGGGGTCCTCATATTATTTTCTCTGAATATGGTCTCCAACTCAAAAAATAAGCCCAATGTGTCCCTTTGACCAACGCTTTGTCGTTGATCGTTACAGTGTTGGCATGATAGTTCACGGTGTTGATGTGGCGATTCACGATGTTGATATGGTAGTCAACGGTGGTTGGTAACATGGCAGATACATGTTAGATGGGCTAAATTGGTAAATCAAACATGGTAGATGGACAGTCACATCAATATCGTGGACCGTCATGTTAGTATCGTGAACTGTCATATCAGCACCGTAACAGTTAAACAACAAAAAATGTTGGTCAAATGTCATATTAGATTTGTTTTCTAAGTTAGAGTGCTACATTGAGAGAAAAAAATAATACGATGGTTACATTGATATTTTTTTTCAAGAAGACAAGGACCTCTAGTGCCTTTTTGTATAAAATTAAATATTGAGAGTGAATCAACTTTTTTAAAAAGGGTAAATTATAAATTTGATAATTGAAATTTCATACGATTCTTATTTTACTCACCATACTTTCAAAAATTTTAATTTGCTCACTCAATTTTATAGATTGCTTTTTGGTCACTCTACCGTTAAATTTATCGCGTCGTTATGACGTGGCTTAGACAAATTAATAACTGAACTTTCATATGATTCTATTTTACTCACTCAACTTTATAGATTGATTTTTTTGGTTACTCTGCTGTTAAACTTCTCATCGCCAACGATCATCCACTACTACCCTCCATCGCTGAACCCATCTCTGATTAATGATAGCTCACACCAGTTGGATGGTGACTGTCACCACTAGTATCGATGTGAGCGCCAGGCCACCGCGACCAAAACCTTGGTGGCTGATCGTCAAGGCTCCCTGTCCTTTATCGTATAGAAACTGTCGAAGGTTCGTCGGGAAACCAAAGCTTCCCATCGATTTTCGGCCACCCCGGTCGTCCATTCGTCTCACCGCCGCCACTGCTGAACTCCTCTCCTCTTTCCGACCAAAACCCAATTGGTTTACCCTCTTATTGTCGCTGCCTAAGTCCGACGCTATTTTTCGACCACCCCACGTACGTTCATCTCCCTACGGCCAAAAACTCAATCTATAAAGTTGATTGAGCAAAATTGAAAATTTTGAAAGTACGGTGAGTAAAATAGAAATCATATGGAAATTCAGTTATCAAATTTGTAATTTACCCTTATTATTATTATTATTATGTGGAAATCTGATGTGGCATGTTTAATATTAAAATATTCTATATCAACGAGCTATTAGTGAAATAACGGTAGAGTGACCAAAAAAGTTCAATCCATAAAATTGAATGAGCAAATTGAAAATTTTGGAAGTATGGCGTGTAAAATAGGAATCATATGAAAATTCAGTTATCACATTTGTAATTTACCCCGGTTTACATTCAATAAAAGAATTTTACCCAAAGTAGAATATGAGGACCAAATTACTACAAAAGATGAGTTAAAATAATAATTTTATCAACTTTAGGTATTAATTTTATTATTAGCTCAACTAACTTTATATTACAAAAATACAAACTGAAATAATTAAATAATTTGCCAAAGAGAAATTGATGGGCACAACTGTCGGTAACTGGACCAAACGATGCAAAATAAATAAATAAATAAAAATCTTGTCTTCCACTTCTCCCTGTTATCCTCAGAACTTTCCCATGTGCTAAAGCTTCAGTTTTCATCAATTCTTCACGAGAAACTTGCACTTTTATTTTAAACTTCCATAATGTGTTTCATTCTTCCAAGCTAAACAAAAAGTACAAAAGCTCCTGCAGAAAGGAACAGCACAAGATCCAATAAAAAGCACATGTTCCTGTAAGAACACCAACAATGGATGAACTTAACTTGTTGAAGATAGAGTGTTTGCTTCTTTGTCTGTCTCAGGAATTGCTGGTGTTGGTACCTTTGTAAAGGGTTTTAAAAAAAATGGACTTCAGGACACGTTTAGATTATGCTTTGTTCCAAATTTCACCAACTAGAACCAGGTAAAGCTAAAGTTCGGTTCTTTGATTTTGCATTGAGTTCTAAAAATGGTATCTATATTGGTTTTTGGTTTTGAAGGTGTGATCTGGTTATTTTTGCTGGGAAAAATAATGAGAAATTGGCATCAGGGTTGCTTGAGCCTTTCATTTCACACCTAAGCTCTGCTAAAGATCAAATTTCAAAAGGAGGCTACTCTATTACTCTTCGTCCGGTGGGCTCAACGCCTTCCTGGTTCACAAAGGGCACTCTCCAAAGGTAAAAATTCCAACCTCGTTTTGAAAATTTGCGGAAACATTTTGCTGTTATCTGGTTTGTTTTTGGATTTACAGTGATGGGTTTAGGGACATTTTGCTATATGAGGAAACAATATTTTGTTTTTTAAGTCTTTGTCATTGACCTTTGTTAATGGTTTCTAATGTGTTTTTTAACAGGTTTGTGAGGTTTGTCAATACACCAGAACTTCTTGAAAGATTTGTGACAGTGGAGAGGGAAATTGAGCAGATCGAGGATTCGATTCAATCGTACGAAGCGAACGCTTCCGGGACGACAGACGCAGACGGTATGTTTATGTTTGGTCCAGTTGTCTGAAAATTGTCTGATTTGATCCGATTTGGAATTAACATGAACCGGTTGGATTGTTTCAGGAAATTTCCAAAAGTCATATGGTTCATCTAAGGTATGCTTTTCGCCTTCTCTATTTTGTTTGTTTCCTTTAATAGCTCACATTTTAATCTCAGAATTGTATTATGTTGCTGCATGCCTGCGTATAGTCCAAAGGTGAATCCGATGGAAACGGCGACGCTGTTCAGGAAGAAACTTCCAAGTAAATTACTTGTTCCTGCAGTTAGCTACATTAGCTTGATGTCTTTTAAAATGCATTCGTTGTTCACCCTGGTGTCGGTATGCAGGGTTCGTCTTCAACGAGTTCTAGAGACTAGGAAATGGTACTTTGTAAAGAGCAGGCAATGGCTTATGCTCGTGCTTTGGTTGCCGGATACGAACCTGATAATATAGATGATCTCGTCTCTTTCGCTGACGCTTTTGGTGCCTCTCGATTAAGGTATAGATCACCATTGTCATGATCAAAATGATGTTCGTTAGGATATGGTTGCCGATTACTAGTTTCTTTTTTCTGTCAGGGAAGCTTGCATAAATTTCATGGACTTATGTAAGAGAAAGAATGAAGATAGGCTTTGGATGGCTGAATTAGCAGCAATGCAAGCATCTAGACCAGACTTGTCTTACCTTGGAACATCCGGGATCGTACTTGCTGGGGAAGAAAATGACCCTACTCAAAATCTTACTGTAAATATCTCGACCTCGAAGAAAACCGTTCGGCGGATGTCTCTGAGATTGGGAGTGGAGATATCAACCCTGGTAAGGATTGATACCAAATTTTTCTTCTCCTTCAGATGTAGATATATATCAATGATATTTGATTTCTTGTAATTGTTTGTTTCGCCTTGTTTTTTCCGAAACTACTACTTGATGTTCCGAAATCTGTTAACATGTTCTACAGATGCTAGCTTGGCATCCATGGATGGGAAATCTCAAGTACAAATGCCATGGCCACCCCATTTTCCTCAGTACATGCAAGGATTTCCAGGTTCCGGATTTCAACAAATGCCTCCATATCAAGGGTACATTTTCCCTGGTATGCCTGGTGCCTCCCCGTATTTTCCGGGGAATATGCATTGGCCTCCGAATGTAGAGGATTCGAGTGTTGCTCGTGGTTGGGAACCAGATGATCATAGAACTCATAAATCATCTTCTAGGAGCAAGAAAAAATCTTCAAAAGGTAAGAGAGATGAATCCACTGAGTCTAGCAATTCCAACACTGAAAGTGAACCAGACAAAGAAATGCATAAGAAAAAGCACAAAAAGAAGTCATCGTCGAGAAAAGTCGTCATCCGCAACATTAATTACATTTCTTCGAAGAGAAATGGGGATAAGGGAAGTGATACAGAAGAGAGTTCCAATGAGGAAGAGTTCATTGATGGAGATTCTCTCAAACACCAAGTGGAGGAGGCTGTTGGATCTTTGGGGAAACAACATAAGTCTACATCACTTCATAATAAGAAACGTGATGGAAGCAAGCATCAAAATGTTCCATACGATGAAGATGATATGGGAACTAAAAATTCGGAGGGAGAAAAACGAAGCAATCCCTGGGATGCTTTCCAGAACCTTCTCTTGCAGGAGAAGGATTTGGATTCCGAAGTAGATAAACAGACTGCAAGGTTGCAAGAGGAATATTTTGCAAGCAAGGGAGCCGAGGGAGTAACAAAGCAGAAAACAATCTCGAGTGATCCCTTTCTGGCCTCACAGATTGATAGGGATCACGAAGGTCAAACTCGAGGCAGGAATTTTGGAAGTAATGAACTCGGTGGCTCAGTTGTTAAGAGAAGAGAGAGCACAAACGAGGAGTTTCTTGTGTTGCAAGGCAATGATTCCGTTATCAGTTCCCGAGCTAATATCTCCGATTATGCTGCGGAAGCTACATTGGCCAAAAGTCGCGGAGAAGGCGAATGGTTTATCAACAAACAAATGGATAAATCGACTAATCAGGATGAAATGATGGGCCTCAAAATGTTTAATGGAGAAAACGGTTCATCATTAGCTGGTGAAAGCAAGAAAGATGTTTTTGTCGATGACTCATTCATTATCCAAGGTCCATCAGTGGGAGACTATCAATCTGATGATCGGTTAAGGATCGGTGTAGGCATGGTTCCTGAAATTGAAGCTACTCAGCATGAACATGGCAATTCGGATACTGTATCGAAGGCTGCTTCAGTTTCGTATGAACCGGATGACCTTTACATGATGATCAGACGTGGTTCAGCTGAAGAGAATGCCATGACATCTTGGACTCCAGAGATTGACTATGAAATGAATGCACTATCTGCTGAAGTGACCGAAAGGCACGCTGATACTGAAATAACTGGTGTCGATGACAAGGGTCCTAATCCTAAAAAACCGGGGAAACTTTCGAATAAAGAAGTTCGTTCTAGAGTTTCAAATGGACCTCTCGTCAAAAGTAAATCTGACTTAACATCAAAGACCAGGAAACCACCAGCTGGAAGCAACACCGCCATACGGAAAACTAAGTCCGATCAGGTATTTACAACCCTTTGGCCTTTAGGTTTGAGTCCGTTCCTTGACCGAATGAGATAAAAGCAGACTGCAATGCTCATCTGTTTCTGATTTGTTTTACTTGCCTTTCTAATTCGATATAGGAAGAGGAAAAACGAAAGAAAATGGAGGAGTTACGGATCCAGCGTCAGAAGAGGATAGCTGAGAGGAGTGCTGGTGGCGGTCTTAATCCTGTTATTTTCCGGAGGAGCTCAACAGAAAATAAAACTTTGACAGCTTCGACAAAGAAGATCCAATTCTCGACTCAGGAGACTAAGGAATCACCAAAACCAGTCCTTAGAAGTTCAACCATAGAACGCCTTGCAACTGCAAGGAATACTTCAAAGGTCGCACCAGCTGAATCGAAATCGAGCCATCCAAAAAAGTCGACATCGAAGGAAAACAGTTCTTTAACCGCTCGGAAGACAGCTCAAGCTAAGGATAAGAAATCAAGCACAAAAAAAGTCGAAGCTTCATATATAAAACGTGGCACAAATAAAGTAGCTCCAAATGGCTCTAATGCACAAGGAAAAAAGGACTCCAAAGAGGTCACAGAAGCATTGCCAATGGAACCAGCGGCACCCGAACCAGCAGCACCCCAGACAGACATTGTCGACGATTTCAAGGACATCCAAGAGTTGCAGACTAATCCAATAGATAAAACCGAAAGAAACTCGATTTCAAAACAAAACCCATTGGAGGACCAAAACTCAAATGGAAACATGGTTACCGTAGATAAACCATTGCAAATAGATCATGTAAAAGGCGATGAAGAATTCAGTAAGGAGGCATGTAAAGTTGTTTCTGGAGATAACATTGCACCGGAAGAATTCGGTAAAGATATTCCCGAGACAACAGTTCTTCCTGTGCCACCAGTGCCTGTCAAGTCGGTTCGGTTTTCGACTGTAAATATTGAAGGGATCGATACCATGAATGAGAAATTCCAGCCCTGTAGGGTTTCTGAAATAGAGATCTCAACCCCACCTCCCAAGGATACAATGGACAAGGAACTGATGCATAGCAGGAAGAAATGGAACAATGATGAAAGCCCTCCTAAAGTGGCCAAAGGGTTTAGAAAGCTTCTTTTCTTTGGAAGAAAAAGCAAAAACTATTATACTGCTTAGTGTGTGCTCTTGCCATTCAACAATACTTCTGGTTTGGGTTTTCAATTTTTTTTCGAGTGCTTCGAGAGTTCGGGTGGAACGTAACAATAAGGCTTTTGATGTTGCTGCCATTCAAGGATTCATGAAACTGAAAATGAAAAAAAAGGAGATTCATAATGTAATTTATCTTTGACATTATCATGTTGTATGGATCAAAACACATTCTTTTTGTGTGATTGTATGCCTTTGTAATTTGTGTTTGTATACACATTTTGAGTCTTTGTATACACAAGCTATAGATTTGTTTTTTTTTTCTTCAGCTCATTGCTTTTGGTTTAGCTGTTGCAGCTGAGCAAAGCACCACCACCGTAAGTAAAACACCCTTGCTTTATTGATGTGTTTCGTTCGTACAATTTCTGGGTTTGAAGGAAAACGAAAGAAGTTCAAATCTTTTGTTTGAAAAACACCAGTAAATGTTGATTTAGCTTTCTGGGTTTTTAGTTTTCCATATGAAAGTTGCTGCTTTTGAAGGAAAGGAAGTGTGTCTTTGATGTTGGTCTTGATTCTTAGGCTGTAAGGGTAGTTTAAAAACATGTTATTTTATTAGTTACTATTTTCAATTGTCTATAAACTTACCATTCTAAGCTGAATTACCGTGAAAATGGATCGGTCTCTGTATTCGTTTTCTTAAATTGCTGTTTATACCTTACCGCTCTAGATGTGGCTGCAAGGACTCCAAAGTCTGGTATTTTGAGCTGCATTTCATGTGCTAAGGGTTCGACATAGGCTATAAGATCGGTGTTGGTGTTCCGATTCGATATTCGATATCTGTTATTTATTGCTTGAGCAGCTTACATTATCTTCAATGAAGTTGCAGTCTGAAAACTCGGTTCTCTGCTTTGTAGGAAGCCTTGCAAGAAGAAACCTCCTAGCACTAACGTAGTGTCTGATCGTATCCCGAATTCTATCTGCACGATACTTTGACAGAAGTTAACCTAACAATGTCAAATTTTACGACAAATCCGACTTACACCGGTAAACTCGTGATGGCCGAGTGAGTAACAACCCATTTGCCGATACCGCTGAAACATGTTCCATCTGTTTAAGCCATTACCAAACCTACCAGGAAAGCTTCAACCAGACATCCTTGGTTTCAATTCAAAGAGAAAACCCAGCATTGACATAACAATTGGTTGTCCAAAACTAGAGAAGCACACAATCGGTTGTTTTAGTTTTGTCAAAAATTCGGGCAATCCCTCAAATTGACATAACAGCAAAATGCAAACTAGAAAAGCTCATGGGGTCACAATGCAAATATATATTACTGTAGGAAAGAAAATGAAGAAGAAGAAAAAAAATCAAGCTGGGCTAGTTAATAATTATTTCTTGCATGTTTTACACGAGAATTCATCGCGTCGTCACATTCAACGTTGTTGATCATTGTTCGTATCTCGACTCATCGACTGTCGCTTAGGATTCTTCAGCTTAAACAATAAAAATGAAGAAAAAAAATTTGGAACATCCTTTGGTTGCATTGTGGGGTACTCTTTGGCAGACAAAAGGACATAAAAGGCTTCTGATTAGCAATAAAATCGATTACCTTCCAAAAGTGTGAAAACCCCTAAATCTCTTTACCATGTTTTGGTCCATCCTTTCTTTTCTTTTCTTTTCTTTTCTTTTTCCTTTGGCAATTAACTGTACATTTATACAGTGGCACATGCTGCCCTTAAATCAAGGACGGAAATTTTCTCTGAAAATTTGTCCCACAATCTCCTAGCTAGCTTTCAACTGCCCCTAATGAACTCCCTTTATTGCTGAAAGCTACCTACACTTCAAGGACTTTCAACTCTGGGTGCATTGTATCACGACTAGATAAATTGGACTCTTGAAAAAAAATAATTTAAATTTAAACTTTGAAGACGACATTATTGAAAGAAATAATTACGAATTCGAATATGAAAATTTCGAAATAAATTTCCTGATAAGAAAATAATAATGGAAGGCAGCAATTAGGGGTCGGAATAGGCCAGACCAGACCAGGCTTTAATAGGCCTGGGCCTGGCCTACAATGATTTTTGTAGGCATGAGCCTGGCATGTGGCCTGTCAAAGGCTTTTATTTAGGCCTGACCTGTGGCCTGTCAAAGGCTTTTATTTAGGCCTGACCTGTTTAAAAGTTTGACCTGTTTAAAAGCCTGTTTAACAATAAACATTTAATATTTTGAGTTTAGTCAATAATTTTAGAGTAAAATCTCTATTAAGTCACTCTAACTTAGTCCATTTTACAAAGTAATCACTCTAAATAGGCCGGCCTATCAGGTTTTTTAATAGGCCTAAGCCTGACCTGTTTAATTAAATAGACTTTTAAAAATGCATGATCTGGCCTTTTTATTAAATAAAAAGGCCAGGCCAGGCTTTATACAAGCCAGGCCGTAGGCCCCTGTAGCCCGGTTTGGCCTATTCCGACCCCTAGCGGCAATAAGTGAAGAGTAAACAGTATTAGGCCCAATTTTACAAAATAAGATAAAGAAAACGTATAATCATTGTACAAAATATATTATATAAATACCATATTCCAATTTTACAAAATATTATTATTAAAAAACAACGATAAATACAAAAATATATCATGTCAAAAATGTAAGAACCAAAACCTAATTTAAGGTTGAAAACGGCGAGGTAAACACAATAAAAATGTGATAAAAACATAATATTTAAGGTTGAACCGAAAATGTTAGAAGTATAACGTTTTAGGTTATGCATCGTGTCAAAAATGGAGTAGTCAAATCAATTTTTTTTAAATTTAGTGTCCAAAATATGAACCATGTCAAAATTAAGTAATCAAAATAGTGATAATATTAAAATTGTGTGATTAAATTTATATTTTATCTCTTGAAATGATATTAATTTTTACAATATTTTTTTTGGATGATGAGCTCAACTACAGCTATAGTTGAATTATTTAATAGCGTATTAAGATCATGATTTTATCATTATTAAACTAACTTAACTATGATAAAAGTCAAATTATTCAGCGTATTATTAGGAATTCAATTATGATTATAATCAATTTTATGCATTAATGACTCAATTATATATATATATAATACATAAAATGAGTCAAGTTTAATTATAAATTAGTTAAAATTTAAAAGTAAATTATTTAAAATAAAAAGTAAATTATGTCAATGACCTCCTAACTATTGATTTTTTATATTTTGACTATCATTTTTGAAATTTTGTCAATCAGATCACTCAACTATTTAAATGCATTCAATTAAGCCACTTGTCGTTAATATTTAATGAAAAACAGATGTGACAGTTAAAATATTTGATATTATTACACATTTGGTCCATGTTACTTATATAATCTATCAATTTGGTTCTAATTTTAATAAATCAAGATAAACTTAACCCTCAAATCAAATGGTGCCAAAACAACATTTATTAACTTATTTTTTTTCAATTTGTAGGAAAACAAACAAGAAAGAAAAGAAAAGATAACTTACAAAAACTTGATTTCATTTTTGAGAAATTAAAAAAAATATTTCAAACGCTTTGATTTCAAAAATACATATATAATAAGTAAAATCAAAATTTAAACTCTTAAAAATTAATCCAAAACAATTCGATTTTATTATAATGCGACGGATTAGGTAAAAGTAAAGTTAAAATACTTGAATAGTTGAGTAATAATAAATAAACATTTTTTAACAAACGGTCTAAAAGTAATTACAAAATAAAAATAAAACATCTAATTTAAACTCCTAAAATCATTGAAAGATATAGTTTAAATACATGAATTGCCACACTAATTGTCTTGCGTGTATCAATGTAAAATATAGTAATTTTAAGATACAAAAACGAAGAACATGGATAAATGCTTGCATGTTTATTTCACTTTATTATCAGAAATAATAAAAGCCGATAAAGAGAAAAGAAAATTTGCACTAGCTGACATTAAATTGGATTCATCTCCAATTAACTACTTTGGCATATTTGAGGGTTAAATTTATTTTAATTTATTAAAATTAGGGCCAAATTGATAGAACATATACGTAACAGAGATTATGTGTGTCATTATACCAATTATTTTAAATGCTACAACACCTTTTCCGTTAAATATTATCGGCAAGTGGTTTTATTGAATGCATTTAAATATTACTTGAGTGACATGATTCACAAAATTTAAAAAATGATGGTTAAAATAAAATTGTGTCATAGTTAGGTGATTATTGGTACAATTTACAGTTTACCTTTTATTTTAAATAATTTACCTTTAAATTTTTAATTAATTTATAATTATACGTTGAGTCCTTTATAATTTTTAACGTTTTATAAATTAATTTATCGATGCTCATCATTAGTGGTGCTCATCGTCGCTCGTCGAACATGAAAGAATCATATATATATATATATATATATATATATATGATTCAATTTTAATCCTATGACAAGAAATTCTAATGTCCTTTATCATATTCATTGTGTGGGCTAGAAATTCTATTTTTTCTAATCATCATCATCAACTATATTCTCACTCTTATTTTTGTCATTAAAGTTTATTTTTAATGACTTAACTTTTAAATTATTCTTAATTTAATCACTCTAAGTTTAATTTTTTTTAATTATATATTAATAAAATAATAATAAAAATGTCATGACACAAAATTTATTAATAAAATAAAATAGAGTGATTAAAATAGGAGCAATTTGAAAGTTGAGTAGTAAATTAAAAAATTTAAATTTTAGTAACAAAATAGGAGTGAGAAGATAGTTGAGTGATGAATGATGTAATTTACCCATAAAAATAAAGCGCTATTAAGTTTTTAATAGAGGTGTACTAAAATGAAACAAAAACTAAACGTTAGTTATAGTTTTAAAAAAATTGAAAGTTTAAATACTAAAACGGACTAGAACTGATAGTTTAGGTACTACACTCATAATTTGCCCTTAGTTTTTTGTATTATAATATTATAAAAATGTTAATTGCTTGGATTCTGGATAATCATTTTTAGGGTTTTTACTTTTCATAATTTTGTTGGGGTGAATTTTGTTTATTTTAACAATGTAAAAAATTTAAAAAGTTATTAATAAATATAAGATGTAATAATAAGTTATATTATATATATCGAGCAAATTTAAGTATAAATATTAAGAAGTGATCTTAATGATAAAAGAGAATATTATTATCTTTATAGTTCATGAGTTCGAGTTATTGTGTATGCAGGATGTGTGCGTTATTAATTGCTAATAAATATTCTGAACAAATATCACCTCGTAATCATC